CGTTTTGAAGCCGCAAAACAGCTGTTTTGCGGCTTCAAAACGGCCGCGGATGACCCGAAATGGCCCCGCGCCGCGTTTTCGCACCCTCCCCTCGCTTCCCGAGGGCGCGAAAATGGCTGCCCGGGGCCAGGAAACTTCTCTAAGTGGGAAGTTTAGGGCCGATTTGGAACGCATTAAATGAAGTTTAATGCGTTCCAATGGCTTTTTACTTCCCGCTTAGCGAAGATTTCACATAGCGAAGGTTAATCCGGAACGGATTAACCTCGCTATGCGGGGCACCACTGTAATTCATTCATAGGGTTACCACAAGTTTGAAGTAACTTGAAGGCCCAACAACAAACAAACCTTAATAGTACTAATTATCTTCAGAAATTTCCCTTCATTTATGCCACATTAGTTTTCTGAATAGCTCAGAGGATTAGGTCTCAGTTGGGAGTTCAATTCCAGACTGGGCTTCCTTGACAGGGGCTGGACTTGATGAACCATAGGTTCTCTTCCAGCTTTGCAGTTCTAGTATTATGATTATGATTATTTGGATTAATGAAAGATTGTTCTTTTTAGGACATGTCTCAATGGTTAGGGATTATTTAGATATCATAGAATCACAGAGCTGTGATTTTCTGTTGCTGCTGCTCTATGTTGTCTTGTTGCACTTAATGGTACTAATGGTTCTAATATGTGGTATTAATACAAACAGAAATACGGTTTGTAATTAGTAAACAGTTTTATTTATTTAGTTAACCTTAAAGAATGAATCTGAACTTTAGTAAAATTGTGGTTTTGTGGATATGATGGGTCACCAGATAGATAAATAATGGGTGCTAATTCAAATCAAGCCTGAAATCTCTCTCAGTTATGGTTCTTACCCTATGGAATTTCTTCTGAATACATAAATGACTGCTTCCCACAATGGCTGCTTTTAAGAGAACTTTAAAATATAGCCCCATCTTCATTTTAAAATGAAAGATTTTAATGCTGTTTGCTATTACAGTATCTGTGGAATGGATCACATTGCATGGTATTCTTTTTTAAAAGTATATTTCACCTAGGTTTTTTAAAAAGTTAAGATGATTTTATTGTTGCAGATACTAAGTTTTACTATTTTACATTGTAAGCTGACTGAAGAAGGCCAATCTCATGAAAGGCAACAAAGACATATATTACATTACATTATATTACATAAATAAATAAATGAGATGTCAGACAAAGCAGGGATGCGTAAAGCAATGGAAAAACAAAAAGAGAGAAAGAAATCGCTGGATGTTGTGGCCATAAGGTCTGCATTTAGGCCCAGTCCCAAAATGAGATTGCAGACTGATTGAATTAGTCTCTGCTAGGTGCTGCATATATCAAGTTACACCCGACATTCAGGGACAAAGAAGCAGTGGCTGACCCCACCCCACCCCCATCTGAAAAAATAAAAGCCAGCATTTAGTCATATCTCTCCACTGCCTTAAGTGAAACACAGAGGTTCCAAGTTAGGCAGAAAGCAAAGAAAAAGAGAAACATGGCAGTCTTTATATTACCAAAGCCAGAGATTAATTTTGGGTAATATTCCAGGTTTTTTTAAAAAAAGTAAATTGAAGCCATATCATGTCATATTACCTCTGGAAACAAAAGACAATCTATGCCTTTACTTATCTTACAAAAACATGAAATGCTACAGATCATAAATATAGTACCATGATTACTTATGTGATTTTAGCAATTCCTTTTTGTTTTTATACTTGAGGTTTAAGGATGCAATTGAAAGATGTACAACAAAGCTGCCATCCTGTACACATTTGTTTGGTAATACATCTCACAGAACTGAATAGAATTCACAGAACCTCCAAGTAGATATAAGCAAACTGTATCATAAGAGTTTATTTGGAGATAGGACGTTTGTTTTTTAGTTTTCACCCGGTTGTCTTTCTTTGCATATAATACATAACAACAACTGTGGTGTAACATTCTAGAAGCAACTATCTGAAATGTAGGCAGAAAGCAGAGAGAAAAAAGAAATGTAGTCCCTGGTATTTCTCCTTTTTTAGCATCTCAGGTACCAGAGCTTAAGAAGAGCTAAAAGCCAGTCAGAACTGATCACACTGGGCTTGATTGTTCAATAGTCTGACTGAGCAGGGCAGCTTTGCATGTTCCCACCTCTGACAAAGGTATAGTGTCTGATTTGGTTAACCATAGTTATACACATCCTTCTGCTTCTGGAGTTTCTTTTGTCATAGATATGGGTGTAAAGGTATGAATTCTTAAAGTGAAATAGAAAACAGAAAGTGTCAGTAGAGCCTGCTGTACATTTGGAAGCTCAAAACATAGTTCTAAGCTAAGCTATGGTTAGTGCAAGTCATGTGTGTCGTAATGTTTGAACCGATCCAGTGAGTTTTAGTAACAAAATCTTATCCTTATGGCAGAAGAACAGATATATCTAGCAGAGATGTTTGGAACTTTATGATTAACAGCTGCATTTAAATAAAGTGAGATAAATTATTATTTGAGCACTTACACAGTTGCAATACCTATTTAATGGAATAGTGCTTGAATACAATAAATGATCTGAAGTTCATAGAAGTATCAAAGAGACTAATTGCATGTAAAATGCAGCACAGTGCAGTTCTTCAAGTTGTTTCTTTTTCAAACTAAACCAAATACAGGAAAGCCCAAGCCAGAGTGAGATAATAGTGAATCAAGAGGCAAGGTTTAAATCCCTCAACCTACAAAAAGAAATGCTAATAGCAAGGAAGAAAAAGGTTTCACTAGTTTTCATTTTTTCATTTTGAATTGCCCTTTTTTCTGGATTGTGGTTGGGATGGAAGGATTAAGCTTTGTCTCATTATATGCTGATGTCTAACTCCAGATTAGGCAGTCTAACACATGGTTTAATTAAAAAAAAAAGGACTGCTGAAAGTTATCCATTTAACAGCATCTGTAGGTATGCTCTTGCAGATCATTTTGTGTTAACATCTGTTTGGAATATGACATAACTTCTAGCTGTGCAATTCTGATTCCTTGTACCCCTTTGTACAAAATTGTATTGTGAAGCTTATTAAAACCATATTCTGTATTGGGTTACTTGGGAGTAGGGCCTACTGAACACAGTGGTGCTTAACCAAGGCATAGCATTGTGATGTAGGTATAGCAAAATTATTTTGAGTGAACTGTTGCAACTCCCATTGCAGAAGGGAGGAGATAACAAGTGGGGTACCACAAGGCTCAGTCCTGGGCCTGGTACTCTTCAACCCTTTTATTCATGACTTGGATAAGGGAGTACTGGGAATACTTATCAAATTTGCAGATGGCGCAAAATTGGGTGGGATAAGAAATACCTTGGAAGACAGGAAGAAAATTCAAAAATACGTTGATAGGCTTGAGCATTGGGCTGAAAACAACACAGTGAAGTGTAACAGGGATAAGTGCAAAGTTCCACTCCTAGGGAAAACAAACCAAATGCACAGTTACAGTATGGGGGATACTTGGCTCAGTAATACTAGGACTGAGAAGGATCTTGGAATTGTTGTAGATCAAAAGCTAAATATGAGCCAATAATGCAGTGTGGCTGCAAAAACCCCCAACACAAATGTGATTGTAGGATACATTAACAGAAGCATAGTCTCCAGATCCTGAGAGGTACTAGTTCTCCTCTATTCAGCACTGGTTAGACTTTATCTTAAGTATTGTATCCAGTTCTAGACACCACATTTTAAGAGGGATGCCAGCTACATGGAGCAAGTTCAGAGGAGGGCAACAAGAATGATCAAGGGACTGAAAACCAAGCCCTGTGAGGAAAGACTGAAAGAACTGGGCATGTTTAGCCTTGAGAAAAGAAGACTCAGGGGAGAAATGATAGCAGTTTTCAAATACTTGAATGCTAGTCCTATAGAGGAGGGGCAGGATCTGTTCTCAATCATCCCAGAGTGCAGGACACGTAATAATTTGCTCAAACTACAGGAGGCCAGATTTAGATTGACTATCAGGAAAAAGTTTTAAACTGTTAGTGCAGTATGACAGTGGCACCAATTACCTCAAGAAGGTGGTTAGTGCTCCAACGCTGGAGGCATTCAAGAGAAAATTGGAAACCATTTGTCAGATCTACTTTGGTTTAGATTCCTGTATTGAGTGAGGGCTGAACTCAATATCCTTAGAGTCCTTTTCCAACTCAACTATTTTATGATTCTATGATTTAGAGGACTGTGTGAACACTAGTGCTGTGTCATGAATACATAAGATCTCAAAGCAAAAATTAATCACTAACAGCTATTGAATTGTTTCAATATCTTTGTTTATGTCCCATGGCTTAATTTTTATTAACTGGGTGTATTTTTCAATATGAAGTTTTGCGTGAAAATTGTATTGTGGTACAGCTTTCTATTCTATATAAAATAATGGACTCTTCTCTTCCACTATTTTTTGACAGTTTTGGTATGAACCATGATGGAATTGGAAATTCTTGTGGAACCAAAGGTCATGAAGCAGCAAAACTTATGGCAGCTCACATTACAGCTAACACCAACCCCTTTTCCTGGTCAGCTTGCAGCAGGGATTATATCACCAGTTTTTTAGAGTAAGTAGTCTCTGTAGATGATAGATGCCTCAAAAATTTCACATTGAGTTGTAACCTGGTGGTATGAATATACAATGGTAATTTTAAAAAAATAGCATGTACCTCAATACAGAAATGTTTGCACATAGCTATGGGGCGCTTGTGTGCTATTGTATACGAGGTTCTTATCCACAAAAGAAATTCACAGCATTGACTATCTCTTTGGTGGGTGAATATGAAAATAAGAGACCTGAATTGTCTGGGAGGTGAAGAGAATCTGTCTTTGGCTTGATACTGCTGCTCTGTTGTTGGGGAAACTGAATATTGTTGGGGGTACAGAACACTATCCATTATTGGCAGACAGGGCAGATCTGTTAGTCTTGACAGTGCTGGTCCATTATTTGGGGGAGCAGAAAAAGGTTGGGGGAAGAAGGGATATTTTATCAGAGCGATCAAACCTGACAGTACTACAGTGGTGCCTCGCATAGCGAGGTTAATCCATTCCGGATTAACCTTCGCTATAGCGAAACATCGCTAAACGGAATTTTAAAAGCCATAGAAACGCATTGAACTTCGTTCAATGCGTTCCTATGGCTTTAAAACTCACCGTTAAGCGATCTTCCTCCATAGAGCCGCCATTTTCGCGCCCTCGGTAAGCGAGGGCAGGGCGGGAAAATGCAGCGCGGACCTTCCGGTGGCCATTTTGGAACCGCCGATCAGCTGTTCTCCCCCGCTTCGTTATGCGATATTCGCAAAGCGAATCGCTTAGCGAATATCGCAAAGCGAAAAAACGCCATAGGGGCCATCGCTGGGCGAATGCTCCAGCGATGGCCCAGGGGCCCTCGTTCAGCGATTTAATCGCTCAGCGGGGCGCTCGTTAAGCGAGGCACCACTGTACTCAGTTTAGTGGAGGAAACCATCCTACAGGGATGAATGCAACTCATTTTGTAGATTGTATTTGTAGATTGCTTCCAAAATGCTGTGAAAACATGATAGGAGGATGTTTGTGTGTTAAAGATGTAAATCCTGACTTGTAGCCAAGAGCAAGGGATTATAAAATAAATTTATTCTCCTTACAGGCAAGGAATTTCCAGGAGTTTGTATTAAAACTGTTTATGTGTATACTTTCCTTCACAAAGGCCAAAGGATACTAGTTACATCTTATCCATATTAGAGAGTCACACATAATTCTATGTGATTATTCAGAAAAACCTTACTTAACATTGATAACTATGCAGACTTAAAAGTCTGATATAAGCAAACAAACAAAGGCCAGTATCTGCTTAACCAGCTACACTGGTGAAGAGGTGATTATATTATAGGCAGCAGCAGATCACTTATAATTAAAGAGCCCCTGCTTCTATTTGAGTTGTGTGTATCTCACACACAATGAAACAAAGTTATGTACAACTCATAATTGAAACAGGATCGCATTAATTAGCAGCAGTGATGTCAGTGTGAGCTTTTTGTATATTATAGTCCTCATGCTCAGATGCAGCAAGTACAATATTTTAGGACATAGATTTATACAGTTGTGAGTGTGGAGACTGAGTGAATTGTAATAATGACCTTTCACATGACAATAACCTTATTAACATAAGTAATAAACTTTCCAAGCATTGATTATATAAATATCCTTTTCATTCTCCCTCTGAATTGTGGAGACAATGGTAAACATAAATAGTGGTTCCATAGAAACCTGCCCCCACCAAATTTTCAGAATTCTCTTTGCATAAACTTATTTTATTTATTTATTTAACTTATATGCCGCCCGTACTGCCCAAAGGTCTCTAGGTGGCTTACAACAAGTAAAATATAGTAAAAAAGATAAAATAATTAAAATACAATTAAAAACACAGTGCTCTAAAAATTGCCATCAGGACACACAGTTGCTACTATTTCAATTAAAAGCCTTCTGGAGCAGGAAGGTTTTGATCTGGTGCTGAAATGTCATCAGCGTCGGTGCCAGACGAATCTCAATTGGGATGGCGTTCCATAGTCTGGGGACAGCTGCCAAGAAGATCCTTTGTCTACAAGCCATCCCTCTTACCTCCTTGAGGGACAGCTCTTTCAAAAGGGCCCCCTGGCTAGATCTCAACTGCCAGATAGGTTCATATAGAAGGAAGTGGTCCTTCAGGTATCCAGGGCCCAAGCTGTTTAGGGCTTTATATGTCAAAACAAGCACTTTGCATTGGGCCCGGGCAGCAACTGGTAACCAATGTAACTTAAACGGAATCGGCTTGACGTGTTCCCTAGTGGCCCCACCACTCACCAGCCGTGCAGCTCAATTCTGGGCCAGTTGCAGTCACCGGACCATCTTCAAAGGCAGACCCACATAGATAGAGTGCATTGCAGTAATCTATATGAGATGTTACCAGTGCATGTGTAACTGTCATGAGACTCCGCTTGTCCAGGTAGGGCCGTAGCTGGTATAATTTCCGCAGCTGAAGGAAGGCGCCCCTGGACTGAGTTTCAATTTATTAACCCTCATCCAGTTCATTATCAGGTCCAGATATGAATTCAGCACAGAAACCGTCTCACCTGGATTGTTGGAAAACAAGAGGTAGAGCTGTCGTCAGCATATTGCTGACTCCTCAGCCCAAACCTCCTGATGATCTCTCCCAGCAGTTCCATGTAGATGTTAAACAATATGGGGTACAATATCGAGCCCTGAGGAACTCTGTGGCATAAATGCCATGGGACAGAGCAACTGTCCCCCAGCACCACCCTCTGGACACAGTCAGCCAGGAAGGAGCGGAACCACCATAAAGCGGTGCCCCCAACTCCCAACCCAGCCAGCCTATCCAGAAGGACACCATGGTTGATGATGTTGAAAGCCGCCGAGAGGTCCAGGATTGTCAACAGGGTCACACTCCACCTGTCTCTCTCCTGGCAAAGGTCATTGTACAGCTCGACCAAGGCAGTTTGCGTAACAAAACCAGGCCTGAAACCCAGTTGAAATGGATCCAAAATTAAACCTTTGTCACCAAATCACTGTAATGCACATGTTTCTGAGCAGTCAGTGATTTCTACATTTGCACTGTTTTGCCAACACTAGATCTGGATTAATTTGTAAATATTTTTGGTTTACTGTTCACATGCCAGTATACATGATTATAGCCTGTAATTCCTGTATTGAGCAGGGGGTTGTACTTGATGGCCTTGTAGGCCCCTTCCAACTTCAGTTTTCTATGATTCTGTGATTCTAAATTCGCTCCTCTTGGGATGCCTATTTATTTGTTTGTTTGTTTGTTTGCCGCCTTTCTCCCCAGAGGGGACCCAGGGCGGCTGACAACAGGTACAACAGTTTTAAAAATACTGTATAAGTATCATATCTAAACCATCTTCAAGAACGCTTTTTGACACTCATTTAAAGTTCTGTTAGATCATTTCATCTCATATTTTGCCCACCACAATCCCTGTGGACTTTCACATTGTCCCCAAATTATTTTTTTTAAAAAACAATGGCTGCTAGAGAACATGAGGTGCTTTTTCAGATTTTTAGAAATAGTCAGAATTCTGATGGGGATTTATGTGTGTCTAAATTAAATTGTGTAACTGACTGCACCATATTGTCATTACTTAGTCTGCAGCTGCATTCTGAGTACTCACCTGATGTGTGTCTAAATGCATGCCTCATAGTGCAATTAATCCCCCAATGATGACCAGCAATTTGCCTCGATGAGTTACTCAATTTAACTTACACATTCATAAATTGCTGAAAAGGTTAGTTATACCTTAATTGCATTAATCATCTTTTAAAATCTTCCTTCTGTTGAATTTGGCTAATGACTTTGGCCTTTATTCAAAGAACACTTTTTCTTTCTACCATATAGCTCAATGGTTAAGAACTGCCTTATTAAACTACGTACCAGTGTTGTGAAGAGTACTAATACACAGAGAAATAAAATTTAAACTTAGGGAATTAAATCTATCTATTGAATTACAGTGGGGTCTCGACTTACGAACTTAATCCGTATTGGAAGGCGGTTCTCAGGTCGAAAAGTTCGTAGGTCGAATCTGCATTTCCCATAGGAATGCATTGAAAACCATTTAATCTGTATCTGCTCTTTTCCGTCCATAGAAACTACTGTAATGGGAAGCTGCTATTCCGCCTTCTGCCACTAGAGGGGGATATTTTTTTCTTTTTTCCCCTTAGGTTCAGGAAACGAGGAAGAACGCAGGTAACAGTTTGCAAAGCACTTTAGAAAAAAATTTTTTCAACGAAGCAAATTTTAAATCATGCTATAAAGCATGTTGTGCTGATTTTTTCAGCACAAAGACACACAGGCAGGCTTTTTAGGTGCTGAGCAAGCCTCCCCAAGCCTCTTCAGAGCCAGCAGATCAGCTGATAGGCGGGGGGAGGAGGGGGCAGGGGTGGGGGGGAACCACAAAATGGCTGCCAGGCTCCCTGCTGGGTGTTGGCTTTTAGCTGTTTCCTGCTCTTTTTCCTGCTGTTTGGGGGCTACCAAGGCCTGGTAAGTGACTTTCTTTTATTTATTTTTAAGTTTCTGACCTTTTTTCCCCCTCCAGAAGCCATTTGGGGAGGGAGGGGGCACTTTTTTTCCTGTTCGTAACTCGAGGGAAGTTCGTATGTCGAGTCCTTTTTCCCCTATAGGGCGGGTTCGTAAGTTGAACTGTTCGCAAGTAGGGTCGTTCGTAAGTCGAGACCCCACTGTAGTTTGAAGGAATGAGTTTGATTTTCAGAGAATGAGTAATAAATATGTAAATTAGAAAGTGTTTTAAGATTGAAAAGTTATACCTATCCAATCTTAATTATGTGTGCTTACATATGGAGAATTCTTTGTTTTTAGTTTATTTGAGATGAGGATTATTTATTTATTTTGTTTGTTTGTTAATATTCGTATGAAAATATTTTAAAAGTTGCTTAACTGCCTTAGTCATGTTCTTTCCTTCTGCGGCCCCACTTTTTGGAAATATGCCCCCCAAACTGCCAGCCAATCTGAACAAATAGCCACTTGCCCTGCCAGAGTTTCCGGCCCCTGCAATAAGCAATGTGA